GATTCTTCAAAAAGTTGATCAGCTGATACAGAGTCCAGAAATTAAATCACCAACTGGCCAAGCTAAAAAAGACAGGCAATCCAAGAGAATCAATGCTGACGCAAGCACTTCATGACTCATTGTCTGCTAGGAATGCCATCTCACAAATATTACACTGTATCCATCATAGTTACTAACATTAAAAACTGTTACGAATTCTTCTGTTCACATAAGGACCGATTGTTCCCCTAAATCTCCATGTTCCGGGATTATCCCATGCCCAAACTTATTCATATTCTACTAAACAGCTAAAAATTACGCTTAGCGAGTTAACGCCACCAAAAATAATCTACAACAGAAGTCTTTACATGCAGTCCATTGAACAAAAAACAATTGGAAAGATAGCAATAAACAACAAATATGACTAATAATCAGATTTGCGTTAAGACATTTACCCGAACAAGCTTATAAACAATAGGATCAGCTTCTTGCTTCAATGGAGCTAAACCAGAACTAAGTTTAACAGCTGCACCATCCTCGATAACACCTTCCTCATTTTCCTTAATCCCAACCACCATTTTCATGGGAACCTCACCACAGCCAACTCAAGATAGCCTTGCTGAAATCCACACAAAAAACCAGATTTTATATTTACAAATCAGCATTTGTTTCCTTAACAAAACTGAATTGAACGAGCTCTGTATGAATTATAAGCTCATAAAAATACAATTGCATAAATGCCAGCTCAATAAGTCTATTTTGTTTTAGTGCATGAAGAAATGAAGCACTGATATCAATAAATAACAAACGAAAACACCCAAAATAAAGGCCTAATTCTTGTCAACCCAAATATTTATAAGTGCAACTATCCAGAAAACGATCTGGGCATAAAATTTTAGAAATCACACAGAACTCCACAACACATATAATTTGCAACCAAATATTGATAAAATAGTAATTCAACAAATCAGCCAATAAAACATAAAAGGAAGCAAATTAAATTCAATACACTTGATAATGTGATCATGCTGATTAATGTTCAATTATAATTTCTCAGGAAAAAAATACATCAAAGCCACCCAACATTAAATTTTTTCCCATATATAGCAAACAATAATTCAATAAAAAAGTTAATTTGGAAATCTTCACTCAATCCCAATTTCTTCCAAATTCATATCTTTTATCAATAAACTGGAAACCCGATTCTTCAATTGAATTACACAGTACATTAAAAAGAGGAAAAGGGGAAAACAAAACTCCAATTAAATGTACCAAAAACATCAACAAATAAACAATATATACCAAAAAAAATAAAAAATAAAAACCCAAAATTGATGAAAAATAACCCATAAAAAAGAAAAAATAAAACTAACCCTTACGAAAATAAACGCCAAATTTGCAAACCCACTTCATAATTTGCGATTTCTCGGAAAATTGATCAAAGTTTTCACAGTACAGTACAGAAAACACAGAGAGAGAAAGTAGAGAGAGAAAAAAAAGGGTGGAATTAGCGGCAAAAATAGAAAAATGAAAGTGAAAGAAAATGACTTTTTTTAATTTTTGTAACAAAGAAATGAGAAATTTACTGGGTTTGTTGTTTTGTTGAAGCTTCGCAAGCAAGAAAATTTTAATCGAGCCAAGAAGAAAGAAGAGAGAGAAACAAAGAACTTTTTGACTACACTGCTCAAAGTCTTTTTCTGGCTTTACAGTTTCCCGGATTTCAAATTTATTTTGTTAGCTGGATTTAATTAATTTGGTGTAAATTCCGAGATATTGTGAATTTTTTTTTACTTTTTTTGCTTTTTTTGGGAGCCAAAATTATTTGTTGCCAAATGTAAATTTGATTCTAGTAGTTGTGAACTGGTGACTTTGTGAGTTGTAATGGGTTTATGGACTTTTGGCCCAAAGTGTTTGTAATTACTACAGTATTGCTTCTTAAATTAGGGAAGGTGGTGATTTTTGAGATCATAATAGATGGATAAAGTGTGATGGAGAATTGGAGATTGTCATAATGACAAGTTATTGATAATAAAATGCATTAATCTGTGTCGTTTGGTTGAACAAAGGAAGTGTACATTTTACATAGTTTTTATCACATGTAACTTCATTTCGTAAAAGGTGTAAAACGTTATTTTTTTTGTTGATTGTGGGAGATAAAATACTTCACAAGTATCTCGTGTATAAGAGGATACTAAAACATGAACCTACCCAAGTTAATCTCCAAGATTATCATCCAAGTTTATCTCATCTCACAATTTTATACTTTTGTTTCCGTGTTATTTTATTAAAATAAATTTATTACTTTAAAAATTAAAGAAAAACATTAAATTGTGAGAAGAGATATATTTACTACTTTATCTCAAAAATTAACTTGAAATTTCTCCTAAAATATTGAGAAGTAAACCATCGTCATTATTTAATCATGGTTCAAATATTTTCATATGAAGAAATGAAAATAACCAAATCACCCTTTGTATTGTGAATTTGTGATAGGATTAAAAAAATTACTGTAATTGATTAATTTATATGAATCTTATTTCATGCCAAGGAAGATGATAAAAAATTGCCATTTTTTTTATCTCAATATAAGTATACAACAAATCTAATAAGACAATTTAAAAGACCTTTCAATGTGCAACAACTAATATTTTGAAAAAACAATAATTTAAAAAAATAGAAAAGTGGGATTCTCCCAACCACCATAAAATTTGGGGGAAAAAAGAAATGACTTCCAACAAACAGATATCAAGAAAAACTGGTGTTTATCCAAAATCCAAGTTAATGGCTCGTGTTATCCCCTCAACTTTTTCTCTCTACGGCTCTTCTACTCCCTCATTTTTCCCACGAAATCCAACTAAAACTTCTGTTTCTTACAATTTAATTCATAAAACTTCTCTTTGGCTTTGCAATGCCAGCAAGAAACCCGGCTTCTTCGATCAAATTCTCGACTATATTGAAGGTATAAGCTAAGTCCGGGGTTTTATAGTCACGTTGATAGCGTTATTTGAACTAGTAACGTAACAACTAAACTTGTGTGATTTTATTATGATGTTCAAACTTCATTTTATGCAGGTGGGCCTAAATTAAGAAAATGGTATGGAGCACCTGATCTCCTCCCAAAGGATGGATCAATAGCAGAAGATGAGGGTGATGATGCTGGTATATTATACTTTGTATTAAATTGCTAATTAACTTGCTTTGAACTATTCCTTAAAACTTGTATTAAGACTATTATCTTGATGTTTTACCTGAAACAGAGGTAGAAGAGGCCAGAGATGCTGTTCTAGTAACTGATGGCGATAGCGAAATCGGCCAGGTATGATGTAACAAATGCTAACCTTCACTCCATAATCTTTAGTCCTAATATGTGACTGTCTATTAACATCATAGTCTTTGTAATGTACTTTAAGTTAAGTTCTTATCGCTCAGACTGGCTGCGTATATCTTTAATTTAGCTTAGTTTGGGATGGATGAATACTGAACCTCTTGATTTCTAGCTTACTATATAGATGGTGATTTTATCCTTAATTGTAAAACGGACTCGAGTGAAAGCACTGGTTAAAGATAGGCGTGCTGCTCTTGAAGCCTTTGGAACCTACATCGAGGTATACTATCTAGATCTTCTTGTATGCCTGTCAGTTTGGCATCACAATTCTTCTGAAGTTGTATCTACCTTTTAACATAATTTGTGGTGGTTTCGCGGAAAGTCATTGGCTGGAGATGCAACTAATACCGCCTTTTTAAAGAAGGCCTTGAAGGGAGTTCGTGCGATTATATGCCCAACTGTATGTACACTAGACCTATGTCTTCTTGGTTGCCTTTTAATCCAGTAAAGCAGATTCTAAGCCTGCTGATTCTTATGCAGGAAGGTTTCCTGTCCAAAGTTGGGAACTTGCAAGGAGTCCAACATGTTGTTCTCTTATCTCAGGTACATATTTCATTCTGAACTATGTAGCCCTGTAAATTGTCAGAAACTCTAACTACCAATTCACATAGAATTGAACTCGAACTCGAACAAAACTCTGAAGTATTCTGGATTTCTGCTACAACGCTACGCTATCTGAAGTTACATGCTCCCAAGTATCATGGAGAAGAAGCCCTTTTTATGTCATTTTTGTTTGACTAGATTGCAGTTATCTGTGTACGAAGGTGCTGATGGCATTCAAGCTCTTATGACAAGCAACGCAAAAAAGTTGGCTGAACAAGATGAATCAACCCTTATGGCTTCAGGAATCCCCTATACTATTATCAGAACTGGCTCTCTGCAAAATACTCCAGGCGGAACACAAGGATTTAGCTTTCAAGAGGTAAACAGACAATCTTACACTGCATACAGTTTTTTCATGCCAGAAAAGATATTACTATCCATCTAGAGGAAAAGATAATCATTGAGTTGTTGACAGGGTAGTGCAACAAAGGGAAGTCTCGGCAAGGAAGATGCCGCGTTTGTATGTGTCGAGGCACTCAGTTTACTACCGGAGAATGGCTTCATAGTTGAGGTCAGTCAAACAAATCATGATATACACAATTGGTTCAATTTCCTCTTAATACAGTTGTTAATTGTTGTACACGTATGGCACATTCCAATAAAACTTTTCTGGCTCCACCACCATTGCTATCATAGGTAGTCAACGGAGAGGAGAAGGTTTCAGACTGGAAGCAGCAACTCAGAGAGTTAATGGAGAAGAAGGGCAAAGGTCAAGGATGATGGCGAACCAATTCATGACATTTTGAGAATCAACCAGAACCTCAGAGAAAGGATGAAAATTTATTTTATGATCAATTAAGTTGTATTAAATTATTTGACTTATAGCTGGTTTTATTCTATGTTCAAATTGCTAGTGAATATACATCAATTACAAATTTGCTTGTACCATTCCCGAAAGCACACCATCATGTTGTTATTCACCCCCAGGCAGGCCATGACCCTTGCCTAAGGACGAAAAAAAAGATAACTTTCTTGTACTTGTATATTTTTAAAAAAAAAAATGTAAAACATTAAGGTAGATGATTTACAGGGAGAAAAAAAGTAAAAGGCATTCTTTAAATTGCATAAATATTTTTGTGGTCTCTCATCAATGTAAAAAAATAAAAACCCTTTTCTTTGCAGAAAAAGGGACTCAAAACTCCCTCCTCCCCCTTCTCTCTTTCCGCCAAACTTCTAATTTCTCCTTTTCCTCTTATGCCTGATGTTAGCATCACTAATACAGTTCCTAGCATTTGCTGCGGTACAACATACATAAAACACCATCGATGAAAAACAAATATGGACATGGCCAAAGAAGTGTATAGAAAACACAAAACTGTCCGCAAAGTACAATAATGGGTTAGTCAAAACATTAACCTCCCCTTTTCTGCTATCTCCAAGCCTCATGCAAGTACTTCTGTATCCTCATCACGCAAATTCTTCTGCGTGCTATTTTGCTTGCACCAGCACAAAAACTCAGGAAGTAGACCCTCTTCCCCAATAACCCACGGATGCTCAGCGACCATATTTAACGTCAGCCGTTGATCAGGATCTGTCAAAAAAAGGATTATTTTTAGTGAGGATAGATTGTATTTAGAATCTATACAGGTATTAACATATCATCAACGGGTCCGATTACCCAAAAGAGCCAACTCAAATTATTGACTTCATTACTGTCAAACACTGAAAACAGTATAATATAGAAAATTCCTCAGCCTGAACAAGCAAGCATCAATTAAAAAAATTTAGAACACTAAAAAAGAAGAGATCAGAATGCTCAAGAGTAAAGCACCAGACTTAATAATAAAACTTCGAGTTGTAGTAACTTGTGTAGATGCAAATTAAAAAAGAGAGCAACATTTTCAACCCCCTATTAATCTATACAGGTATGTAAACATCATCAACCGGTCCGATTACCCAAAAGAGACAACTCAACTTATTGATTTCACTACTGTCAAGCACTGAAAACAGTATAGTATAGGAATTCCCAGCCTGAACAAGCCAGCATCAATTAAGAATATTTAGAACACTAAAAAGAAGAGATCAGAATGCTCAAGAATAAAGCACTAGGGTTAATAATATTAATCGAGCTGTAGTAACTAGTAACTTGCAGATGCAAATTAAAAAAAGAGCAACATTTTCAACCCCTCTATACCCCAACAACAACAAAGCCTTAGTCCCAAAAAAAAAATTGGTGTGCTAAAATGCCAAAAATTCTCACAAGACATGTAAACTAACATTGTACAAAGGTGAGCTAATTAATAAATGGAATTGTAACAGTTCACTCACCTTTGCACAGGAGCCCCTCTAACAAATTCCTGAGTTGAGGATTAATATTTTCTGGGAGATCAATGGGATCATTAACAATCTGGGGCATCAAAACAGTTGTCAGAATAGAAAAGAAACAAACCCTGAACATTAAATACTAATTTTAAAGCATGTAGCTGATAGTGGATGAGAAACCAAAGCACCTTGTCATAGGTTTCTTGTAGTGTCTCTCCGATAAAGGGAAACTTGCCCATTATCATACAGTACAAGGTGATACCCACAGCCCATGTATCAGCAGCTTTGCCACGATAAGTAAGACCTGTTTGACACAAAATCCCCAAGGATGAAGACCATGAAGGAATATTTCAACAGTCACCCATACTGAAAAAACTATCGTGGAGGGTCATTTGCAGCACTATACTAACCTAAACAACACTCAGGGGCAGTTATAACAGGTGTCCCAGGAGAGCGGCGAAGCTCATCATTATCTTCCTGCAGATATGATGATAGAAATAAAGGGAAAAACATCAGGCATGAGAAGAAAGAAATACACCGTTGAAAAATCAAAAGCACTCTGATAGAATGTAAATCTATCTTGAGTTTATGGCATTCAGCACTCATCTCCTGGTTGAGTTCGTTATTGTGAATGCTGACAAATCAAGCAAGATTACAATCCAGCCCATTGCCACATACCCTAAGTGCAAAAGATTTATACAAACAAAAGAAGGAACAAAAGAGTCTTTCCTATGCATTAAATTCAAACAGCTTCACTTGAAAAGAGCCTATTGACAGAAAATAGATGCCAACAAGCTGAGCAGAAACTACAGAGCTCCTTTCATGCGCGGTGAACAAAAAAAATTAGGGGGTCTCAGCAGCATACAATTACCATGTAATAACACAGAAATTCCACGGATTAAAAGACGCCATTAATTCTTGCATGCCTTTAAGATTTTTCAACTACACAAACAGCAACTTGAGTCTCTCAAACTCCTGAAACCAGAGGCTAAAACTGAAAGGTATAACTAAATCCAATAATCCTCATCCAGCGAAAGGTGAGAACATCCACAACATAACGGTCACACTCTCTGGCAAAATTGAACAAGTTTAGAGCATTGGGTGATTATCACAGTTTCTTATTCATACTAGTAAAGGTAATTGCAGTTTAATTCAGCACATACCCTTTGACACATTACAGTTTCTACTATCATAATCAGCAATGTCTAAATTTCAATTTCTCCAACTCATAAAAGTCTAACCAAATGCACAGCATAAGTTACGCATGCATCACTTGCTCTAGAATATACGAAACATACTATGGGTTACTAAGCACTTCTATTCAAAGCCATTGGCAACACCACTAAAGTGACTAAACAAATTCATTGCAGAGCCATTTTGTCCAACTTGTATTTGTTTTCAAACAGTGAACCTCCACTGAGAATGAGGTATTTGATTGTAAGGGATGGAGGAGGAAGATTTTTGTGGATGGCTATATGCATAATCACTTTTGGTTCATGTAGCCGACCCCTTTTATGGGATTAAGGCTTTGATTGATTGATTGAACCTCCACGGTGCAAGACCTAAGGATTTCATCCTATGTATAACCAATCAGTTTAAGAAATTCATTCTTCAGCGTATCCTCATAATGCAACAAATGCAGGTAGTAGATGCTAAAAGAAATGAAAGAATTGTATTTTCTTGTGCCAAACTTGGAAGAATAACATACCACACCATTACTCTAACACCCCTAATTAGTAGCTACTTGAAGAGATGAAGAATAGTAATTTCTGAGTAAAACTTTTGGAGCATAAAATATCACACAATAACCCTTACGCTTCTAATGAGGCTCCCACTTACAACAAGGTGAGGGCTAGGGGGTTAAGACATGGCCTTACTCATAAAATTGTGAAGAGGCTGCATTTGCCTTAACCATAAATATGCAAAGCAGTTGTTCCTGATTAACCCTTAATTTGAAGACAACAATTCGCCAACTACTTCAAGTAGATAAGAGCTACATAACACTAAAATGAGACATAATCCAACCCTTTACAACCCAAAAAAGCAAAGCTGCCCAATAAGGACTCCTATAAATGCTACATAATGGCAAATTTTAGCATTTACTTTACTCTGATTTTGGATAAATAAGGAATAAAGAACTTGATATGGAGTAGCTTGTTCGCGTTGCTCTGGATGTGGGTAACTTATGCGTTTAAATATTCACTTAAAGTATGTATATAGACGAAGTCTGCAGTCCATTGCAATGAATTTCTATCTATGGAAGACTCCTTCCTAAATCTATGATCCCATTGGAATCTATTAGCATTAAGCTGTTCCCCACAATGAGGAGAAAGAAAATTCCATTTATTTCACTGGATACAGGCAGCTTATGCTTTATTAATTGGTTTTAAAATGTTGTGTAAACCAAATCCAACATCCATAGAAGAAAGTTCTATGGTAGACTCAGTCCTAGACTTATAATCACAAGGGAGGATGTAATACTTAAAAAATAAAATAAAATGGAAAGAAATGTAAAACTTAATTATAGATAGTTTAAGGATTCTTTGTTTGTAGTTAAAATTTTATTTTTCAGCAGAAAAACCATATTCATAATTGACAGTGTACTCAATGTGAACTGCTCCACCCCACACCCCGCAAAAAAAGGAAAGGGGGATGTTGAATTTATTACAGAAAGTTAAATAACATGCATAGAAGTTCTGAGAATAATCTTCCTAAGGCACAATTATCATTGAAAAGACTGAACATATTAGCTTTCCTTCCCATATCTTCTGTCCACTGCATCTAGATGTTAACATCTAATCTCTCTACAAATGCTACAATATAATAGCACAAAAAACATAATCATAATAAAATTATAATTTGTATCCTCGGGCACAATTTTTTTATGGAACTCATCACATAGATAAGTTTTCAAGAGCAAAATGAAATTGAATTTTTACATTATGAGATACAATTCTGTTACCTCAAATACTTGGCTGACACTGAAGTCTGCAATCTTGACAGTGCCATTACGCGAAACCAAAAGATTTTGAGGCTTTATGTCCATGTGTACTATATTCTGTTGCTCAAAGAAAACAAAACCACTAAGACTCAGTAAATGCCAATCACCAAATGAAAAAGAAGGTTTAACACAGAATGCCTCAAACACAGAATTAGAGAAATTATAAGTCTCTCTAGGCTAAAATCATTGTCTCATATACTCCTTTTAGCAAAAATATGCCTCGATGAAGAAAAAGGGTATAACCAAAAGACCTCTCCCAAAAAATACATGTGCGGAATAACAGAACTAGTTATGCATGAAAATTAGCTGTCAATTCCACCTGTCTCCTTATTCCTGCATTTATTTATGGAAAACTATTTTAAATACAATTGTAAATAAATTACACAAATCTTGGTCAGCTGTTATACTCTTGTCTCACTTCTCAGTGCTTCTAGAGGTATCTATCATAGTTCATAGACTTGTGTTTCTAATGGATTGATCTTATTTTCTACTGCTTCAAATTATATTGCAAAATTAAAAATAAGACGTGCACATCTGTCTTATTGTAAAGCAGGAAACAGTTCTTTTGGAAATAGAAAACGCGGAGCCTGGGCCAACAAAGTTTAGAAATGGCACTAAAGTGACCTTACATGTGAATGAAGATACATCAGCCCAGAAACAATATCTCGCAAGTACTTTCTCGCTATAGCTTCCCCTAAGCCACCAGGTGGCCCAGCACCCTCGCAATCCCATTTGCCTTCAACGTACTCAAGAACTGAATTGAGAAAATTATAGATAAATTATGGAGCCCATTACAGAAAATCACTAAAAGAATGAAAAAGTTAAATCCAGGTCCCATTTAGCATCCTGCATTTATAAATTCAGGCATGGAATGCGATAAAGTGAAGTAAAACAAAAAGGTAGTGCAGTAATACCCATATAGAAATGATCTGTGTCTGGGTCATTTATCACCTCAATAAGATTAACTATGTTGGGATGGCTCACTATTTTCATTATCAGTACCTGCAAGTCATTAAATATAAAATTCAAACATTGCAATGAACGGCTGATATGCACTGCCGAACAATTTTTACAGTAAAAACTGCCAGGATTAACTTAGATCAACAATTAGACAATAAGCCCAAATCAGTCGAAAATAAGCAATCTCCAATATACTATATAATCATCTTAGTCAAGAATTTAGATAGAATTTGTCATTGCCTCTCAAAAATAAGCCTTGACAAGCTATGGTTCTTCTTAGACTTAAAATCTAAAACAAATTGTTGCGCTCAACATAATGGTTATACTTGACATAAACTTCCAGATGTCCAGCTCAAAGATTATAAAGTCAAGCACTTTTATGAAAAACTTAAACCTGAAGAGTGAGTTTAAAGCTTACAAAAAATTAGTCAAGCAGCAATATTTTACTAAAAAAAATATAAAAGCTTTAAGAAATTCAGTACTATGCTAAATAGGATGCAAAGCGTTAATTTTAGTACAATAAACAAATTTGGACATAGTACATACCTCCCGAAGAACATCTGTCATAGCAGTCTCAGAAGGTGCAACTCGTTGCTTCAACAAATGGGACTTGTGAAATGCCTACATAGCAAAGTACCAGATATATCCCAATATAAGTGAGACATTTGGAATTAGCAAGCTTAAAGAGGAATGACATAAAGCGATGTAAACACACATAATGCAGAGTCGTACAACAACACCATAGAGTAATGTAAAAGCTAATAAAACTTGACAAAAGAAGATATATTTCATTTATTTTCACGTGCAAATAAGGTAAAAACAATTAGAGAAATCATAGTACAATTAGCTGGTCTATATTAGGTGGGAAGAAATTATGCTAACCGTGACATTAAGATTTTATTTCAGAAAATATTTAGCCACATATATGTCCAAGTCCTATTCCAATAAAAGACGTAGCAGCATATACAAACAAGATTCTTTCTGAAACTTCATTACCCGAAAACTAGTGTAGGTCTTGTTGCAGGCTTTTAAGACAAGTGTTTGCCAAAATGTGAGTTTCTATCTAGCATACCCTAACCCACCCCCATAATAATTTGTTGAGGATATTAAATTTTACTTCCATATCATGCATCAGTTGACATTATTGGAAATGAATTTTATGGCTATCAACTTTCCCTAAAGATGCTCTGATCCTTTGGAGAATACCTTGCATGTATCATACTGCATGGCAATTTTTCTAGAATATTATCACTTTATCAACAAAAAAGGTTAACCAGGTTATAAAATATCCAGAAATTGAAATGCAAAGTTCCCAATCACCAAACTATTAAAAAAGTTCCCAATCCAGAAATCCTGGAGTGTACATTGCATGTGTTCTTGTGCATTGTTAATCCACTGGCAAAAGTTTACAGTCATTTAAGTCTTACAGAAATTGACAAACAAATACAAAATCATAATGACATTTCATCTTTTTAGAAACTCAAACAGCGTCATGGAGAAAAAACACAATATACAATACAAACTATTGGCAAGGCATACAAGTAGACATCCAATCACCATAAGTTACTTCTTGAATAAAGAAGTAAAAGTCTGATTACATCAACAAGAAACAAGGCAACACTGAAGTGCCAAATGAATATAAGAAGTACACTATCAGCAGGTTTTTATTTTTCTGATAAAAAAGAGATTGGCCTCTTAGGCTCTTAGAAAAAAACACCCTGATTGTATGCAAGTTTTGAATTCTGTAAATTCACATAAACATAATTAACGAATGCCGACAAAGCATGATAATGATGTGTATTCTAACATATGCATGCAAGGAAAAATGGTGCTACAAAAAAAAAAAAAAAAAAAAAAAAAAAAAAACAACCTTTATTGCATAATGATTTCCATCAATGCTGTTTCGGTAAAGAACCTGTCATATTACAAGCTACACATCAGAGAGAAATCAAATCACATCATCATCAATCAGGAGTGTATTTGCAAAATCTTACCACTTTTGCGTAACTTCCAGACCCAATTTTAAATTCACGAATATACTCGTTTATCTTCTTGATCCCAAGTTCATCCTAGTGATACATAACAGGAATTATTATCTTGTTGAACAGCCAAAAACAATAAATAAATAAATAAAATTAAAATAAGGCAGCCATCGAGACAATCAGAAATTGACTTGCATTTGACAAGGATAACAAAAAATCACACCAGAATGGATTCAACATTTTCAAGATTGCATCTTTGCATGACAATTTTAAACAACAGTGCTCACAATATTATCATCACCAAGTATAAAAACCTTACAACAAACCAAAATGAATATTCAACAAATAAACCACAAAGCATCAAGCATATAAGTTGCAGCAAATTTAAACTCCATACAACAACAACAACAACAACAACAACTATAAGCTATCCTAAATGCAGTATCACTCTCATATTGCTCACCTCCGAACGCACGAGTTTGCAAGTTTCTTTGACCTCAAATTGCCTACAAATCAACCCATTTCTAATCTTACAATTAATAATCTCTTCAGCTCGTTGCGCCCCACTAGTCACCTCAGTTTCATCATAGCCTTGTGTCATACTAGTATCTTCCCCATTATAAGAACCATTATCATCAACATCAATATCAACATCATCATCATCATCATCTTCTGCATCATCTAGCAAAGGTTTACGAGAAGTAACAGTCGTAAACCCATCAATTCGAAACTTCGGCCTTGCAATCAATTTTTGCCTTCTCGAGAACCCAAAGCACCCACAGCAGCCCATCTCCATCAGTCTGAAAGTAAAATTACAAGCAATGTATAATCTCACACCATTGACTAATCCAAAAACATGATCAAATCAATTCAATTCAATTCTACTTAATTTCATTCAATTTTTCAGTATAACAACATGACATTCACCCAATTAAATCATAAAAACAAGATTTAATCTGCTACCGCTGAAAATCAAAGTACCTGCTATAGAAGTATAATTACAAGCAATGCATAATCCCATACCATTGACAAATTCAAAAAAATGATCAAATCAATTCAATTCTAGTCAATTTCATTCAATTTTAAAGTATAACAACAAGAAATTCACCCAATTTAATCATCAAAACAAGATTTCATCTGCTAGAACTGAAAAATAAAGAGAGAGAAAATTAAAGTACCTGCTATAGAAGTGGCATTACTTGCAATTGAATAGGAAAAACAGCATCAAAATCTTGGTTTTATAACTGGAAAAAATAATCAGATATGGAAAGAAATCAGAAGAAATCAAAAAATATAGGAAAAAATCCTGATTTCTATAATTGTAGTTCGTCAATTTAGGGTTTGGGAAGATCAGATGAGAGAGAAGAAAGGCTGGAGTGCTCAACGACTCAACGTTATACTTTTTGACAAATAATAAACGTGATAGAGAGTGAACGTTTCGTCAAATTGAAGAGTCCTTGGCTAAAATCAATGGAACAATAATACTCGTATTTACCGATTTACGTCAATAATGTCAATAATAATGTCACATATTGACATTGGACACTCTATTTTACTGAATTTTTTTAGGAAATTCTTTTTGGTGAACTTCAGCTTTTTAATTTTCTGAGTAGTAAATGTTTTAAAATTTTATTATCAATCATAAACCTAAATTATTAATTACCATTGATAAGTGTTATTTCCTTAATTATAGTTAGTTTTTTATTTTTTAATTATATATAAAAAAAATAAAAAATAAAAAAAAACCAACCCATCCCTCAACCCACTGCCCAGCCCCCTCTCGGCGGCCAGAAATCGGCGACCTACCCATCCCTCGCGGTCGGCAACCCCATCATTCTCCCTTTCCCCCATTCCAAAACCCCAAAACCCAAAAATCACAAAACCACCACTCAACCTCCCCTTCACCCACCCTAACCTCCACCGCACTGCCAACCTGCCGCCCCACTCTCGCCGACCCGCCACGCTTCCCCCACTCCCTAGCGTCGTCGTTTTCCTCTCTCCCCGAAACACCCTTCCATTCCCCCCACGAAACCACCAACGAAACCCCTCCCCACTACCAAAACCCCAAATCTTTCCTCCCACCACCCCGAAACCCTAGCGGCTAGGGTTTTCGATGGTGGGGGAGGGGTTTTCAGCAGTGGGGGAGGTGGTTTTAAAGGATTTTCGAGAGGAGGGAGAGGTTTCAAGGGAGGTAGGGGGTTGTCGATTGAGCAATGTCGTCAGGAATAAAGAGGGATGGTGGAGGATCGCAACACCGGCATGGGGAGGAGGAAACCGGCGGAGGGGATTAGGCAGTTAGGCGGTTTTTAGGGATCGGCTGGTGGTCGGGATTAGAGGTGGCCGGTGGCTGGTGGTTTTGGGGTTTGGATCGATTTTTTTTTTTTTTGTTTATAAATTGTTTTAGCCAATTCACTTGTGACACGTGTCACTTACAAAAAAAACCAAAAAAAAAAAAAAAAAAAAAAAAAAACTAACTAACTATGGTTAAATATCTAGTTAAAATTTATCATTAATTTTATAGTTGACTTAATATAAAAAATTTAGGTTTACCATTGATAATAAAATTTTAAAACGTTTACCACTTAGAAAATTAAAAAGTTGGAATTCACCAAAGAGAATTTCCCCAATTTTTTTAATATTTGAGGTCATATTTTCTTCCTCTTATTTTTGCTAAATTAAAATTAATTAAATTAAACTGTTATTACTAAATTTCTAATATATGTGTTCTTAAAAGTTGTTGATTTTTTTTTTAAAAAAAAATTACTGATTTTTACAAATTAAAGCTTTTTTTTTTTTTTTTTGGGGGAAACGAGTTAGTAGGCTTATTAGGCAAATCAAGCTCCACCAAAGTTAAGAGACTTTGGGGGAAAGAATTCATACATACAAGTTCCGCACTACCTTTGGTATTCCATCTCGCTACTAAATGGGCTACCGAGTTGCCTACTCGTTTAACATGAGAGATAATAAAAACATCAAAATCATTAGCTAGAGAAGTAATATCATCATAGAGAAGCCAAAGAGGAGAGTAACCCTTTGCGTGACATTCCACTTTGCTGACCACATTAGCAGCATCTCCCTCCAACCAGATTTTCTTGAAGCCATACCTACGAGCCAAATTCATACCAAATCTCACTTCAGCCATCTCCACATCCCACTCCCCTTCATACCTTCGAACTGCAGCTAGTAAGATCTTACCCCTATCATCCCTCGCAACCACCCCAAGACTAACATATACGCCCTGAACAATGTGAGCATCCACATTGAGTTTAACAAGTCCATCAGGGGGGGTAGGTCCAAGAAGATGCCGAGATAAAGTTCGGGCTTGAGGATTTATTGAACACTTTTTTAGCGTAAATGCCATAGTCAAGAACAAGCCTAGAGAAAACGGTTGTAACATAAACCGGAGTGAGTGTCCCATTCTCACGAACTAGTTTATTTCTGCAGTACCAAATAGCCCACGCAAGAGCAAGGAATTGGCAGAGTTGATGCTTCTAAATTTTCTGTGCAATCCATAACAATCTCGCTGAGAAAGACAAAGATGGTGCATCCTCGATAAGTTGAGAATAATCGCTATGTTCCCACACCTCCTTTGCAATATTACAGTCAAACAACACATGCATAATAGATTCCACAGCAGCACCACAACAATTGCATACCTCATCATTAACATATGACGACGATGTAGCTCTTGTTTCACGGGCATACTCCCCTTGCACGTTTTCCATATGAAATGACTAAGCTTAGGTGGACCGCCTAGATTCCAAACCAGCTTCCAAGCCTCCCTTTCATTCTCAGATAAAGTGTTAGCAACCCCCTCAACATGACCCAATCTACCGAGCCAATAGCCCGACTTCACCGTATATTCCCCATTCTTTGAAGGCCACCAAAATAGCTTATCTTCCGGCATCGCATAAGAAATAGGCAATTGGAGAATGAGGTTACGGTCCTGCACAGAAAAAAGAGATTGCAATAAATCCCCTCTCCACTCTCCGCATTCCTCATTGATCAGCTCTAAGACTCTCAACTCCGGATCGAAGTTCATATCATGTACAGGTACAGCGGTAGGGGGTTCACCAGGGAGCCAAGCATCCAGCCATACTCGAATATTTACCCCATTCCCCACACGCCATTTGAGCCCTTCAAGCAAGAGTGATTTCGAGCCCCAAAGACTTCTCCATGAATAGCTAGGGTCATATCCGCCATATGCTTCAAGAACCGAGCCATTCTTAAAATATTTTGCCTTAAGGATAGCGTGTGTAAGGGTGTTTGGTTTTGTGTGGAGTCTCCAAATTTGTTTCGCCAATAGAGCCTGATTAAAGACCTTTAAGTCTCTAAAACCCATACCCCCTAGATATTTCAGCAAACATAAAGAATCCTAATTATGACAATGCATCTTCTTAGATGATTCCGTCGAACCCCACCAAAACCGAGCTAACAAAGAGTGAATTTCATCGATTAAACCCTCCGGAATTTTAAAAATGCTCATCATGTATGTCGGGATTGCTTGAGCTACCGCTTTGATCATTACCTCTTTCCCGGGCTTCGATAATAGCTTCTCCTTCCAACCTTGTAACTTTCTCCATATTCTCTCCTTTAATAATGCAAAAATCACTTTCTTGGATCTTCCGATGATCATAGGAAGGCACAAATATTTCTCATGCCGTTCAACCTCGTGCACTCCCAAAATGTTCACAATTTCCTGTCTCCGTTCTTCAATAACACTCTTGCTGAAGACTACATCGGTTTTATCAAGATTGACACTTTGCCAGGATGCTCGCTCATACTTGATGATAATTTCAGCTATCTTTGAACATTCTCTAACCGTAGCCTTAGCAAACAGAATGATATCATCTACAAAAAATAAATGTGAAATTCGGGGGGCTCCATTGCAAATTTTCATCCCATGAATCTACTTTTCCTTCGCCGCCTTTTTAATCAAAGTAGAAAAAGCATCTGCAACAATGAGAAATAAATAGGGAGAGATCGGGTCACCTTGCCTCAACCCTCTAGAAGGAATAACCGAACCAGAAATCCTTCCATTGATTTTGAAGGCAAAGGATACACTCGATAAACAGTCCATGACCCTACGGACCCGATCATCACCAAACCCCATCTTATACATCACCCGTTCAAGAAAGATTCATTCCACTCTATCATATGCCTTCCGCATATCCAATTTTAAAGCAACTAAACCATTTCTGCTATCACCATTTCGTTTCACTACATGGAATATTTCGAAAGCTACTAAGGCATTATCCGTAATCAACCGTTTAGGGACAAAAGCACTCTGATTTATTTGCCATAGTCTTCGAAATAGTTTTATATATGACATTACAACAACTTATTAGTCTAAATTCCGTCATACGTTTTGGATTGTGATCACATTTCGGAATTAGCACAACACAAGCCTTAGTTACCACATTCAGATTAATATTTCCATGCCACCAATTTTTCACAAAGCAGATAATACCATTCCAAACAATATGCCAAATTTTTTGAAAAAATAGAGCATGCATACCGTCGGGTCCCGGGGCTTTATTTGGATGCATTTGACACAGGGCACTTTTAATTCATCACCAGTCGGCTCCGCATTCAACATGACATTTATATCATTCGATACCACCTTTTCAATTCCCTTAAGAGCCTGCTCGAATTCACTTGGGGAATCAGTTGAGAAAGAGAGCAAAAATAGCTTTCAACAATGTTTTCAATCTCCTCTTTCTTATCTTTCCACACGCCATACTCATCGACTAAACCATTGATGGTGTTAAAAGACCTCCTTTGGCTTGCTTTTTGATGGAAATAAGAGGTTCTTATCCCCATCTCGATGTTCATTTGCTCTCGCCCTCGCGTGCCAATAGGATTCGTCCATTCGATGTAGCTCTTTCAGTTCACTCGACAAGGATGAACAAAGCTCCAACATTGCTGCATCAGGGTAGCAATCTTGCGCCTCTTTCAATTTCCCTTCCACCTCTTTTATCTTTTTCTTTACCAAAACATTTGGCAACCCAAGAAGTTAGACTTTCCGCACAACTGGATAATCTGTGAGTAGCTTGCTGTCCTATACTCGCTACCCACGCCTCCGCTACAACCTTCCCACACTCCTTACTTGAAAGCCATAGAGCTTCGAACTTGAATTGCTTTTTTTTACTCCCTCTTTCATAATAATTACTAGCCGACATAATCAATGGGGCGTGACACGATTGAAATAGTGGTAAATGGTGCACCTCCACAACAGGAAACATAGAACACCAGTTTATGTCACTGAGGAACCTATCAAGTCTCTCACGTTTGAAAATCCCGGATTCGAACCTTTTTGCCATGTAAAAATACTTCCTTTATAGCCCATGTCTTTCATACCACAATCATCTATCGCATTACGGAATACATCCATAGCTCTTTCACTCCTTGGGAACCACCCTCTTCTTCTCCATGGCTCACAATTTCGTTAAAATCCCCGAACATAATACACAGAAGAGGGCTGCTCGATTTAATATTCGTCATAAGAGTCCATGTACGATGTTTATTTTCAGTTTCAGGCCAGCCATAAACACCAATAGCTCTCCAAATCGGAACATCATTGTGGTCACCAATGTCAGCAGTAATGTGATGTATAGAATAGGAGTTAATCTTCACATTTATATTTCTCCACCAAAAACCAAGACCACCCGAATTTCCGTTACTACTTAGACAAATACCATCCATAGATCCACAAATATTTCTTACTCTCTCCAAACTACTAGCATCAATTTTTGTCTCCATTAAGAAGACAATATTGGGCCGCTCTCTCCAACACCACTCTCGGAGAGCTTTAACCGTCTCAGGGTTGCCCATCCCTCGGACGTTCCAGCTAAATATTTTCATTGCTCTTCGAGGGTGTGGTTCAATCCACCACCCTCTACTTGATTTAATCTGTCTCCAGACGATTCAACTACATTCACATTTGCTCTTTTCCCCTCTGCATTATCATCACAGTCATTCAAACCGTACTCCTTTTCACTCCCAAATTTCCTCTTTCCCCCACTCCCATCAGGTTATTAGTCTCCATAGGCATCATTCTGTCACTCTCTGAATTATTCTCAATTTTTCTACTTTTTTTGTCCACTTTTTCAGCTTTGTAGGACACCTTCCAGTAAGAGTATGAGCAATACCCCTGCTTTCTACACACCTATCATCCAATGAATCAAACAAAATTTCTTTATTTCCCCCACCCATCACTATATCTTCCCTCCCATTATCATTCAAAGGCAGAATAATACCCTTCGCCCCCTCATTGTTCCCCTTACCTACAACTCCCTCATTACTTTCACCCATCCCCTCCTTCTCCACACCCTCAGTCACACCTTTTGCTCTCAGCACTAGTCTCGTATTTGATTCATTCATCACTGGCACCAATTGAGATTCCCTCACTCAAGGAATTGAGTCATTACTAAAGCTGGGCACGGGCCGGGTTGGCCTGCGGGTGGCCCGGCACGGCACGAAAGTCGACGTGGCACGGCACGGCCCGGCAGCTGGCCCGGCCTGGCATGGTCGTCGCCTGGCGTGCCGTGGGCCGTGCCACGGACAGAAATTGCCATTTTCCAGCACGGCCCGGCACGAGCCCGCCTCTTGGCCCGCGTGCTAGCCCGTCAGGCACGGCCCGCGTGCCTGCTCAGCCTGGCACGCCAATAACGACTATAATTAGAGTCGTTGTTGCTTAAAGTCGTTGCTCTTCCCCTCTTTCTAATGGCCATTAACGGCTCTTTTCCCCTCTTTGCCTATAAATACCAAATTTCACTTCACTTCCAAATCACAATTCAACTCATCTCTTCTCTTAATCTCTAATTTTCTTAATCTCTTATTCTCTTATATTCTCTAATTATTATTTATTAATATCGAAAAAAAATTAAAAGTTCATAATCGTAATTAGTGGAAAGCGTTGAAGCACGGTTGTAAGATCTAACTAATCTTTATTATTGTTGTTAATATTATTGTTATTACTTATTAGGTTATTATTATTGTTATAATTATTGTTATTAATTATTATTATTGTTATTGTTATAATTGTCGTTATTAATTATTATTATTGTTATTGTTATAATTGTTGTTATTAATTATTATTATTATTGTTATCGTTAAAATTGTTATTATTGTTAATTATGGCATCACCAAACATGAACAACCCATCATCCTCTAGGAAAGCCCGATTTGTCCGTGGTAATAGTTCTAGGGAACACCTAATCCAATTACCCCCCCCCCCCAATCCCGGTACGTCCCCCTAGGCCTTGAACAATTTAGGCACGATGGTACTTCCGGTTTTTAACCCTATAACATGAATCATATGCCCGGATTTCCACAAAACCAATTTCCATCACCAAACTAATTTCCACAATTCGGTCAATTCCCACCTAATTTCTTTGACCCACAAAATTTTTATTCTAACCAAGGTAGCCAACAAGATACCCTAAATGCCTCTGGTTCTACTACTAACCAACAAATCCCCGAATCTACAAACACCCAATTCCCAAACACACAAGAGCAATGGTTAACCGAAAGTTACATGGTAAATATCAAAAGCCGCAAAAGTGATGTATGACATTATTTTTTTGCTAAATAAAGCCCAAACAAGAGCAAAATGTAAAACATGTGGTAATATATACTCGGCACAATCCAAGTCCTGGACAAGACACTTAAGTAGACACATGAGAAGTTGTGCAAAACCAGCTAGTGATCCAACTCAACTAAAAATTTCCCAATTCCATCCACACGGCTTTACCTACAACTATGAGAGGGATGGGGATGAACTAGGGAAAATGATAGTACACGCCGAACAACCTTTTCTTTTCTCAGAAAGTAACCCATTTAACACTTACATTAACAAAGCATTACAACCCCAACATAAAAGAATCTCTAGGAAAACCGTTCGTTCCGCCACCATGAAAAACTTCCTAGAGTACAAAATGCGGTTACAAGACGAATTGAGTAAACTTAATTGTAGAGTGTCTTTGACTGCCAATTCTTGGGATAGTGGTTATAAATATCACTACTTATGTGTGACTTGCCATTGGGTAGATGATCAATGGTTTTTACAAAAACGAATAATTCATTTCAAAAGGATAGAATACCCCCACACCGGTATTAACATTACTCACCATTTAATGGAAGCAATAAATGAATACAACCTTCGAGAAAAAATCATGTCTGTGACATTTGACAATGCAACCTCAATGACATACATTGCTAATTATGTCAAACAAAACTTGACCGATGTAATATTAGATGGTACGCACTTCATACTAGATGTGTTTGCCATGTTCTTAGCTTATGTGTACAGGATGGAATTAGAGCAATTGGTCCATACTACAGCAAAATTAGAGATGCTATTATGTCTATTAATAGCTCAAACATGAGATACCAAGAATGGAAGAGTTTTCTAAAACAACAAAAGATAAGAGCAATAAAAATCAAAACCAATTGCCCAACTAGGTGGAATTCCACCTATGACATGTTAACCAAGGCAATTGAGTACAAGAATCCGTAGACAATTTTTTACAACCAAAAATTTCCAAACAATGCTATATATGAGGATGATTGGGATAAATGTGAACGATATATGCAATTTTTACATTATTATATAACATGACGTATTGTTTTTCTTCTGTTTATAATCCTTGTGCTCAAAACTTTCTTTCAAATTCATGTTTACTCGCCCAACTTTTCGCTGATCATCGCAACCAAAGTGATTATGATTAGTATCTTCCAGCAATGGAAACAAAGTGGCGTAAATATTATAGTGAAATTCCTTTGATTTATATTTTTGCTTCCATATTAGATCCTAGGCAAAAGTATGAAAATACATTTATGTTAGTTGACATTTATTTTCAATGCATGCTTCTTGACGATAATGTAGATACTTATAAGAGTAATGTGAAGGATCAGTTTTTTGCTTTTTATAGAGTCTATGAAACCAAATATGGCACCATTCCTCATTTAGGCCCTTCCCAACCATCCAAAAACTTAAGTAAAAAGGCCAAACATTTATTTTCACAAGCTACTAACTTGATTTCAAGGTTTTCAGGTGATTCATCAATAAGGATAACGCAAAGCGATGTCTCGGTGTTGCAAATGTACCTG